TTAAGGTAAAATGTCCTAGGCATATTAACTCCAAAAGATCTTAATCAAAGTTTTAAAATACTGACCAGTTTGCAAAAAAGAATAATTTATTTACAGGTGTCGTTGTTCAGAAAACCATAATCCAGCATTATTATTATTATTATTATTATTATTATTATTATTATTATTATTATTATTATTATCATCCAATTTAACTCTCAGAAATGCTACGTAGACTACATGACGCACATCTCTATAATAAAACAAAAACCCTCGAGGACATCATCTGAAAATTCAATCTGTAACTGAAGCGATAACTATCTAAATAGAAATTTAAATAAAAGTTACCAAGGAGGGAGACAAGATCGGATTGCCAAGCCTGTGTCAAATAGCATTCTTTTACATGGCCTTTTTGTTTGCACAAAGCGTGTAATTAATGCTACAAACAAGTGAATTCACTTGGCCTAATTGTCTGTTTATCCTGAGGCTTAGCGCCTAATGGCCTTCTCCCCAATCGGAGACGCCTCTCACGGCCAAAGCAACGTCACTATAACAAATTAACCATTCATATTTAGTCTTATAGGGGAAGTGTAACATTGCAGGAATTTTTAAAATCATTTCCCGTTAAATAAACGTGGAATGCGTAAAAAAGCTGCATGGCTAATGTGAGATTTAAAGTATTTTAATATGCACAGGTGTTGACATGATAATCGCTGTAAACACAAGCGCTAATCTTGCACCCCGGAGGTAAGTAATGAGGCTGCTTTTGTCTATCAGGATTAGTTAACTTTGAGAATGTCCTGTTTATTGCGAACGCAGGGGTCTGTTTACGTTCGGAAAACGCAAATATTTGAGTAGGAACCTTATGACTCCAACTGCCTAACTAACTAACTAACTAACTAACTAAAAAAATAAATAAATAGAAAATCTGTGATAACTGTGAGGTAATGTGCGGTCAGTATTAATAATGCTACATATCAGTACTGCAGCCTGCTATGCTGTATATATGCTTTCTCCCATGATTTCCTACACTGATGATTTTTTTCACACACGCGCACTAATTATTTGAACATTGTAGGGCAGAATCCTACTAAAGAATACAGTGGCAACAAAGTATCTGTGAAACATGCAACAGTTTAACTGTGGTAAGAAATTAAACACGGAGAAAAAACAGTGAGAGACTTTGGGTACTAAGAGAAATAGCTATACATTGGCTACAGAAAACAAAATAACTGATTCTATCTCAAATTGTATTATAACAATATCAAGCATATCACTATATTAAACGCTATTATTATTATTATTATTATTATTATTATTATTATTATTATTATCCGACTGAGCTCATTATTTTTTGGTTTAATTCCGTGTTGAAAGCTTCTTTAATCGACGGCGGACATTTAAAAATAGGTTTAGCAATGCACCTGATGCGTTAAATGTTAATCCTTTATTAGGTGAGAGGAGAATTTCGGAACGGAACCTAGTGAACGGACCTCCGCACACACGAATGAGTTGCTACTGTCAGAGAGGATCTTCGTTTGGGGCTCAGTTTGCTTTTCTGGCTCAATGAAAGGGACATGAAAACGCGACACACACACACGCACGCACGCACGCACACACACACACACACACACACACACACACACACACACACACACGCGCGCGCGCGCGCGCGCACGCTCACGCACCTCCAGCAGTGTGCAACAGGTCGCTTTGCATCCGATATATCCGGCTGAGGTTTCAGCTCTGCGCCTTTCTCACAGGTAAGCAACCATTCCACCCAATGAACAATTAATGTAATTGACATTTTACAATAAAAAATATTTTATACACTTTTTGTGCTGATATTATACATCTGTGGTTGTCTAATTTTATTACTTCATTTAGAGTATGAGCATGTCTCAATTATCTATTCATTTCAAGTAGCCAATGTTACATAAAATAGCTAATTAATTATTATTATTATTATTATTATTATTATTATTATTTTAGTTAGTTTGATATTTCTTCTCCATAAACTATTATTTATATTATTTTCATTAATATTTGTTGTGCTACAGAAAACATTGTTACCTTAAGTAATAGAACAAAATAAAACCACAAACAAAATGAAGTGCTCTCTCAACAGGCCTACATGTGAATATAATTATATATGTTATATTATATATATATATATATATATATATATATATATATATATATATATATATATATATATATATATATATATATATTTTAAAACAGTTGCTTTTGCTCTTTATATAGACACACATATATACATACATTATATATATATATATTTGCTTTTTATATAGACTACATAATTACACTATATATATATATATATATATATATATATATATATATATATACACACACACACACACACACATATAGTGTAATTATGTAGTCTATATAAAAAGCAAAGACAAAAGCACCTTTTTGTTTTAGAAACCGGATGTGTATCTAATTAAAACGCTGTATGGTGCATTAGTAATCAATGCTGGAGCAGATGTGGAGATGCCTGATATCACTGGACGTGTCAGAATAATATTTACGTGTGATCAGTTAAGCTGGATATAAAGACGTCACCTGGGCACTGAATGAATGAAACATTTATATGTAGCCCTAATTGTCTAAAGCCACCAACCCCCACTCATAAGCCCATTTCTAAAAGATTTATAAAGTGTATTTATAATAGCCTCATTATCTAATCAAACAATGAGCTATTTCTCTCACAGGATGAAATTTATTTTGATATCTTTATGCAGACTGGGTGAGATGATTTTACAAATAATAAATAAAGCATTTTCATATTTTATCTTTGTCTGTTGTATACTTTAATTATACTAACACAATAAAAAAAACACTTTTCAAATTATGGTTAAACATAAAAAATGATTTAGTCCTCATGATGATAAATTCATTCTCCTGATATTACAAATACTACCATACAGTTTGCAAACCATCTGCTTCAAGGTCAACGTGATTTGGACAGAATCATATAAATGAAACTCTATTTTGAGCAGTTCCTCAAGCAGTCAGCTCCGTAAGCACGCTAGCAGGAGTCGGATAAAAATGATATTGAATTAAATGTCCTTTGTCAAGTCCACTCTATTATACTACTGTCCACGTCAGGAGCAGTGACTGTGAAAATCACACAATTTGGCATAAATCTGTCCAGCAAGGTTGGTACAGAATTAACATGTGGTTTTTAAAATGCTCTTGCTGTCTTGGGTGTTTTTCCACAACACTGGCTTCTAAAGCAGATATTATCATGGAGATAGTATCTCGGTTAGATTCGTGTAAAGCTGTCTGTGTTTCTTTGTGGAAGTTTCAGGTGTCTGTATTGCACATTCATGCGTTGTAACCACTCCCTTCTTGTTTCTCAGTTAGTACTCAGAAATCTGTACTTCCTTCTCTTTTCGTCACTTCTCACTCCTTTCTTTTCCTTCGTAACTCAGTGCAGTATCATCTGTAATCCACTGTGACATCCGTGTGCAATTTATAAATACCACTGTTAACAATACTATACAATCTTTTCAGATGTTCTTAATCAGTTGTTTAAAAAGGTGATCTGTTCTCATGCTTTCACTGCTATATGGAATTACACAGAGGTAACACTGACTTCACCTTTGACCTAATGTTATTTCCTGACTATAAAGTACTTTTATAAACTGTATTTACTTCAAGCTTTGGAATTTACGAAGTCAGACTAAAACTTTTTTTCAACCAGTGTGCCCGTGTTTCCTCAAGGTCATCTCAAGCGATATTCAAGGTCTAATTCTGAACACAGATCTTCACTGTAATTTGCTTTGCCTGTGAAATTGTCAATCATTCCTTGGATTTCTGGGAGTGATGAACTGTGATTGTCAACCTTTCATCCTTTTATAATGCAGATGGGACCAAGAGTTTCTACAAGAGAAAAGACAGAAAAACACTAGCCTCAGCCGCAGAAAGAGGAGAGGAGTGAATTGGCACAGACTTTCAATACCGAACCACAGAACAATTGTGCTGTGCGTGTGGAATGCTAGCACAAGGGCTAATTGAGGATTTTGAAAGACCTCAGACCATAGGCATACAGCAAAGAGCAGGAGATCGAGGTGACAAATTAAAACAGCTCTACTGGGTGAGAGATGCTGCAAATCAATAGACATAAAAAAACGCATACATACAAACAACGGTAGTGCACAATGGGTGGCGGAAAGAAAAAACTGACCACTGAAATGACTGGAAGAAATCCCATAAGCACTGAGATAGGTATGCTGATGCTGATGCATAAACCATTAATGCCAATTAAGTGTAAAGGCAGATGCCATGTTATAAAAAGTACTAAATCCACAAATAAGGTGATAAATTATGAGATTTCCTGATTGGCAGAGGAAATAAATGCTCCACAACAGAGCGAAAGAGACCCAAAATCTTTTTCTATATGATTTTATGATCACATTTCCTTCCAACCGTGGAATGCATGCAACTCATTGATTTGTTTCTTTTATCCAAGAGTGCAGATGGAGGCAATGCATAATAAATGATATTAGACATCAGGTCAAACATAATGTTTTGCCCTTCAACATGCGTTGCAAGTGTTTCTTTCAGGAGAAAGAAGTGCTTCACCGACCAGGAGGGTGCTAGAATGTAGGCTATGAAAACGAGAATGCTTTGGCTGAAGGTCACATTCCCATTTTCACCCACTATTCTATTCTTCTGTTATTCCACTCCTGTAGCCACAGGAAATGTCTCAGGTCACAAAAAAAAACAGGCATGTAATTAATTAAAGTTTCAATTGAGAAAAGCACCAAGCACTAAATAAACAGGGCTGAGGTCATTAAGTGAAATCTGCAAAATAAAATGCTCAACAGTTTCGAAAATGTTCAATTCTGACTCAACAGGCAAACATGCAGCAGTAGTTGCCTGCATTTCTTTAAGCCGTCCCACCTATGGTTACAGCTGATTTCTCAGTTTGCACCCTTTCGATTCAGTGTAACAGTCACACACAGTACAGTGTTTAACAAACGTACGCAGTCTGGGCCTAATGGTTAGCGAGTCGGACTTGTAACCCGAAGGCCATGGGTTCAAGTCTCAGGTCCGGCAGGGATTGTAGGTGGGGGGAGTGAATGACCAGTGCCCTCCTCCACCCTCCATACCGCGACTGAGGTGAGACCCTTGAGCAAGGCAACGAACCCCCAACTGCTCCCCAGAGCTCCGCTGCAGCAAAAAGAAAAAAAAAAAAGGGTGCCCGGTGCTCCGGGTGTGTGTTCACTACTGTGTGTGCGCACTTGGGTGGGTTAAATGCAGAGCACAAATTCCGAGTATGGGTCACCACATGTCACGTCACTTCACTTCTTACACTCAAAAACTCTAATCATTTGTGGTTATTGCATTTCAACCTTCTTAATGCTTCCTTCTCTTTCATCAGCCAGATATCGAGCGCCAGTTGAAGTTCAGTGCAGAAGATAAAATGTTATCATATGATTTTTAAGTAGATCATTTATATGTAGTCAGACCCTGAAAAAAATATTCACCTGGATATCTGATTCCCCCTTGGTATCATATCCTTATTACTGTGAGTTCCTGGAGATTTTCGGGGGGGGGGGGCGATTTTAGAAATGGAGAAATGTTTGGAAGCATGTGACAGACAAGAGAGCAGAGTGCTGGGAAACCAAAGGCTGGACCGACACGGAAATGCACTCATCAAACAAGCTGATTTTGGAAAGCTGAAGACAGGCCCACCCTGATACCTCACTCCTGGTCTCATTAAATAGTAATGGATCATGACTGTATGCTCATTCTCTAGCAGCCTGTCTCTCTTTCTAAAGGATGAGAGGATAGACAGAATAAACCATACCTTCTAGGATCTTTAGGTTTTTGCCTTGAAGGAAACACCACCAAAGGACAAAATCTGAAGGTCTGTTGAACTCACAAATTATTCATAGCAAAATAATCGACTCCATCTATGACCCATAAAGGTCGTTAGTCCTGAATGTGACAACATCCTCATTAAGTGTGATTATAATTATGATGTGCAGCTGAGTGCAAAAGTTTCCATTGCCTTTGCATACAAAATGAGGAAGACAAAGAAATTAACTTATACCAGGTAGGATTTCACAGATCTGCATTTCTTATCACAGTGTCAATTAGTGTATGTTTCAATATTAATACCAAAATAATCAATTCACATCACCCTGGCTGATTGTGATATTCTGTAAATATTATCTTTAGTTTCCTGCATGCTCACCGTTTTTCCCTGATCATTGCTTCCAAACACTTGTAATGATTTTGCCTTATGTTTCAGATTGTTGCAGGATAGATCTACACTTCATTTTTGGACATCTATTTTATTGAAGATAAATTTAAAATCCAGGTACATTCTCATTTCCCCCAAAACCATAGAAGATGTAAACGTCTGCACTCAAGTGTATATGGTAATCTGCTGTTTCTCAGTGAGTAAACCTGGCAGAGAAAACTGTAGGCCCACAATAAATACAGCCTGGGGTGGATTTCAACACACATTGTAGAAATCTATACGGAATATAGTATGTTAACAAATGAAATATGGAATGCAACACAATGATTTAAACAAAGGCCTATCAATTAATGACTCATTGCATTTCCAGTCTTACTTTGTGTTCGATACCTGTCAGAATTGTCAGCTCTATTGTCCCTTGAAGCTGCAGATTCAACTCACTTCAAGTCACAGCTGCAGAAGGTCAAATCAACACAAACAGTACGTATGTCAAGACAAACAAGTACTGACATTCTTGGGATGCAAACAATGCCTTAGATACAGCTAGTGTTGTAACAGCATTAATAGACTATTATAATATTATAATGGGGGGCCTAACAGCTCTGCAGGCAGGACTCCTGATAATAGCATCTGATTGAAGCTGGGTTGGAATGTGACTTGTGGCAGTTTGATACATATTCAGGGCCACAGAGATCCTGTCATCTTCCCCCACAGGGGGATTAACCCTGCAGAACACACCACTGCATGTCACTTTCCATAAGACGCACTGCTCTGCTCCTATTGTGTACTGGGGCAAAGGGAGGCATGTTGGGTACAGCTAGGAGATGAGAGGTTAGCGTTAATAAGGGGTCCAATGTATACAAAACAAGCAGCTTGTCCACTTAAACTATATCCATGTTAGCCTCTTGAGAGCATAGTAAGTAAATAAGCAAAAACTATCACAAAAGGCACCTGGGCATGTAGTTGCTCTCATTTCTATGACAGATCTGTAGGTCGTTATGGCTCATTTAGGTCTCGAGAATCCAAACAGATCAAGACAACTGATCGACAGCATAATCTTTCCTTGATATATCCATGTCTATGCAACCTTTTCTCATAAGCTTTCAGCTGGGAAACTCTAAGAGGGCACGGGAAAATGGCACCAGCAGCACTGCCTCTAGCCATAGAGGCAGACCAGCGAAGGAGAGAGGCCAATCCATGAAAAATTCATCAGGCCACTGGGTGATGGGGGATGCAGCAGGGTTGGTTGAGCAAGGGGCTTTAATTTACCTGGATGGGAGAGTGGGCGCATCCCGTGCTCTAGCAACGCAGTAATTAAAGGGACAAGGCCTGCGGAAATTGGCTTGGACGACGCTGCAGCGCGCCATCACCCCCGCCTGTCCGCTCTCATCTCTGGTCTATTCCAAAATCAATTATCTCCAGAAAACAGCTGTAAGGCCCTCACTCCAGCCTCTCGCTCCTGAAGTGAGGAACACATTTGAAAATCATTACCACACGAAGCGAAAGGCCCTTTGCATCTTTAACAGTGTGATTTTGAATAAACCATGTTTTTTTTTTAAGCCTGATGACAATTTTACCCCCTTTCAGCCTCCTGGTATGAAAGCCAAGCAGAGTGGCTTGATTGAGTTATTTATGAGGCAACAAGAAAACAAGGCAGGAGGTGAAGGAAGGAGGGTGATTGTAAATTGTCAGCCCTGATGTTTACAATGAACGTAGTGGTTCTTGTCACTTTGTCAGTTTGTTCACAGTGTTTTTTTTCCCCCCTACAGTTCCATATTAGCAGCGCAAAAAAAAAGTTTTAGAATGACCTTGTCATGGCTTTTAACCTCACGTTGTACAGCAAACACTAAGTTTCAGATATAAGGAGATGGATTTCTTTCTTTTTTTTTTTGAAAGCATGAATTTGTGCCAAACTAAGCTTCACTCTGCCATGTCTTTGGTATTTTGTACAAATAGAGATGACACAAAAAAGGACCTTGTCAAAGATCTGAAATGCACAATAAAGTAATATCTCCCTTCATTAAGTTGAGAGAGAAAGCAACATTAGATTAATATTTCCTTTCTTGCTCTCTCCCATATCTTTTAATAGGTCTTTTAACTGCCGCTTCCATCCTTCAATTTTATTTGCCATCCCCATACAGGCTCATTAGACTGGATGAAAAGTCCACAGGCTCAGTGAGAAATGTTAGCCACCGGACAGGGGAAGGGGTGTGTGGTGTCAGAGATTGACTCATCATGTCTGACTATTCCAGGACAAAGAGAAGATAACAGGCGACTCACCGGGGAGCTGTCTTGTCTTGCTATTCACAGTCCATTGCACCCTCTGTACTCCAGAGCTGGTCAGAAAGGGAGAGAAAACGACAATCACTGAATCACAGGAGTGATTCACAGGATCACAGGATCACAAAGTGGTTATGGGGGAAATCTGTCCAAGATCAGTTCATATGGAGAGAGACTAGGTGAAAGTACGGGTAAGTGTTATCAAAGAAGAGAGCTAATAACTGCTTCACTTGAGGTAAACTCACTCAGGGTGTGGACAGTGTTTGGCTCACTACAAAAACTGTTTGGGTGATGGGTGCTTCAAATTAATTTGAAAGACGTGATGTGAAGTGTGTTAGTGCCACACACCAGTGCCAGTGAGGATACTTCAGCCATCCTAGATATAAATGTGGAATATATGAGTGAGAAATGCAAGCTGGCTTGAAATCAGATGAGTCCGTCTGTGGTAATGCCTCTTTAAACAAACCCTAAAACCCTACATATATTCAGGCCCATTTCTTCCTACAGGACTGAGCAGTAATTCATGGCTGTGAGAAGTCCATTCTTATCCAGCCAGCATAAATATATCAGCACTTAACGCCTCACAGCTGAAGCAAATATGCCCCTGAATCAATTAGTCCTGAATGAGGCTGCTTTAGTAATGCTAATGGTTCGCTCACTGACCACTGTGTTATCTGTGCTGCTGGAAGAGTAAGCAGAAGCTACAGCCAGCAGGTGCCCAAGGGCTGGAGGTGGTAAGAGAACACACACACTGCTTATCTGGACAAGACAAATGGGATGTTATTACAAGTTTACCTGAGTCAAAAACCTTAGGCCTCCGTCTGACTTCCTCAGCAGCTGAGATGTGACGGATGGGAAGCAGGCCTTTGTTTGGTGTATCTGTGCGAGTTTGTTTGCCCTCTTGTCTCGGCTGAGGACTCTGAGTGTACTTAAGGAAATCCCTTCCAAATGGAGTGACTAACTTCCCAGACGTTGTCCCATCATACCCCCCACTAGTCAGTGGTGTTGGGCTGCAGGTCTTATTCTGGCAAAAGGAGTGAAATGAACACAAGAGACAGAAAGCTCTTCAGTGTTCACCTGCCCAGGAAACTAATCCACATAGCTCTGTTTTTCTATCGCTCTCACACAATGAAATGTGAAAAGTGAAGATTCATATAAACCCTAATGCTTTAGTCTTAACAGCAACCGAATGGTCACTTCTTTACATAAGGCTTTAGCACATGCATACCTCACTGACCCGCATTATTATATTGTTATCCTTAGCATTTAAGGAAAATATGCAATAGCTGGCTTATTTTTGTTGTGCAAGGATATAATACATCCCAAGGCCACATCTTTGCTCTACACATATTTATCACTACAACCTGGTCAACAAGCACACTTGTCCCTGCAAAAAAGCGACATGAATGAGATTACATATTTCTCAGAAATGATATAATGGGCTGTGTCATAGGGGAGTGACACTGTTTATATTGCATTTCAGTCAACATTGGATACAGAGAGGCAAAGTGTAATATTAATCTGGCTGCATTAACAGTGTCCGACATTCTCGGTGGCTGCACACCAG